GCCTCCTTAGCACCTCCCACAAACAATCCCGGGCAACTTCTCTAACCCTGAAACATCAACACAAATCTCCATTCCCGGTTCAATTTCGTCCCCGACACCCTACACCACCGAGTCATCAACACTAATATCCTCAAACGACAGAGCTCGCCAGAGCCAATTTGTTTGCCATAGCAATCTTTATCCTTCCTTCTTCTACCATTTTTTTCAAATTTTCTCAATTTCTTATTTCAGGCCTGTTCAAATCAATAATGTGCACATATTGTCCCCAAATATATATACTTATGTTATGTCGTATATACTTCACCAATTTCAACTCCACAATACCCAAACTTCACCAATTTTAACTCAACAATACCTCAACTTCACCAATTTCAACTCAACAATTCAGCCATATCTACTCAGCACTCAGCAATCAGCAATACCAATACCCAAATTTCAACAATACCCAATTTCAATTCCATAACGGACAACAGTGAATCTCTACTGCACACAGCACACAACAATACCCAAAATGTAGTATTAAAAAAAAGAACAAAAACGTCTCAACTGAACCGAACGTAGAGCTGAAAATTAGGACCACGTGCAATTTTATCAAAGAACAAATCCAATATTATCCCAAGCTACTATCACCAATGATCTAATTGCTAAAGAAATTAAGAAAGTACCTGATTTGCGGATCTGGGTAGGAGAGAAGTAACTACAGAGGCGGAGGCTGGAGAAAAATCCAAATCGCATAAAGTAAAGATTTCATTTTCTCAACCAACACAAAAAAAAACTCAAGGGAGAAAAAACAAAAGAAAAGAAAAGAAAATTAGTAAAATGTTCTACCTTCTACAGTACTGCGTGCGATTGTGAGTGTGAGCCTGCGAGGCGAAGGATGCGAAGATGGGGTGGAAGTTCTAAACGGCGATTGTTGAGGCGAAGTCGCGAAGATGCCAGCTGTAAAGTGCGAACAGTGGAGGCGGAGCACAGGAGCAGTCGAGCAGAGGATGGAGACTGGAGTTGTGATTTGTAGACGAAGTTTAAATTTTTGGAATTGGGCTCAAAGTTGTGGG